TAGCAACACCAAAAACAGGTTAGCTATTGTTAGTACTATTATTAGAATTTTCATATCATAACTCTTCTTAAAATTTCTTAAAGGTTTATTATTGCCTCTAGAATAAAATCACATTCCACAGTGAGCCTGGCTAGTACTCTGTAATTTAGTCTCTTCCAAACTCTCCAGATTTATCTCTTATTGTTTGTTTTCACCTTTAAACCTGGTGCTTTATTCATATTGAAATACCCGCAGTCCCCTCAAAATGCCAAACTCTTTTTACCTCTTATCTTTGTACATGTTGCTTCCATTGCTTTAGACACTCTACTTCATTGTCCTCCTCCAACTCTTATTATCCACTCACTATTATCCATTCATCCTTCAAATCTCATATATATATATATATCTCCTTCCATGGTGCTTTCTGGTCTAGTTTAAGTACACATTCTACATGCATCCATAATACCCTGTGTTTTCCTTTATTATGGCAACTAGGATAATGTCTATAAACATTTATTAATGGTAGACATGTTTTGGGTGTCAGCCTGCCCCATCCCTATTTCTTTGTGGGTTTTCCATCTTGATTTGATGGGCTTTACTGGAATTATTTATAGGTGACTTTTCACCCTGTTTATCATATATGATTGAAACATGCCCAAAGTCTAGGCTGAGTTAATTTGTTATATCTACTGAAAATTTGAATAAAGAGAAAACTATGAAACATAATTTGAATTAAGAGACATAGTTTGACTTAAGAGAAAACTAGAAAACTATGACTGGTTAATATTCATGCTAGACTTGTTAAGCATAAAAATTTAGGACCAGAGTCCATGCTTGAAAAGGAAAAAAGGGGGAAAAGCCTACAGATTCAAAGCCAGATGAAATATGAAAAAACAGGGATAATGAAAGTGGGTCAAGAAAGTGGGTCTTCAGAGAGGAGAATAGAATTGATGTTTGGAGAGAAATGGAAGAGAGACCATTCAACTTGGCCAAGAAAGAGCAGCTGTTTCATGAATTTGAGCTTGGATTCATTCATTTGAAAGTCTCTTTACAAGGAGAGAATCTTAAAAGCAGCAAGAGAAAAGCAGTTAGTTACCTACAAGGGAGCACCCATACGACTGTCAGCTGATTTCTCAACAGAAACTTTGCAGGCCAGAAGGGAGTGGCAAGAAATATTCAAAGTGATGAAAAACATGGAACTACAACCAAGATTGCTCTACCCAGCAAAGCTATCATTTAGAACTGAAGGTCAGATAAAGAGCTTCACAGATAAGAAAAAGCTAAAGGAGTTCATCACCCCCAGACCAGCACTACATGTAATGTTGAAGGATCTTCTTTAAGAAGCTAATGAACAAAATAATCTGACAAACAAAATAGACCCAAAGACATTGAAGCATGCAACAGATGGTCATATCTCAGAGGGAAGAGGGAAGGGGGTGGAGGGTAGGAAGCAATTAACCAAAGAAGTTATATACATATAGGCATAACCCATGGCCACAGACTATAATGGGGTAAGACCTGGGGAGGAGCTGGGAGTGAGGTGGAGGGGATCAATGGGGGGAAAATGGG